CTGGGATTTGAACTCGATACCGTTATCTTTAATTACTCTAAGTTTGAATTTACACAAAATGTATCAAATTTAAAAGTAAAATAAGATTTTGTAGTTAAACTTTATAAAATATTCAACTTTTATAGCTGAGGATTGAAACAAGATACAATTACTTTATTCACAATAATATCATCAAATATACTTTGACTTAATACTTATTAGTTATTAGTTATTACTTAGTAATATATCATACGGCAATACCGCATACGTTGACGGCTGGCTGAGCGTCTTCAATCAGAATTGTTTTTCGTATACAGTGGCGTAGCCAGAGGGGGGTTTTGGGTGTTTAAACACCCCCCATCGACATTTCCTCCTAATAAATCTCGTATTGTTTATAGGGTTCGGGACTCCTTGCATGTTTTATTGTAGTGATAGTAGGTTATTTTAGATAAGTTATAAATTTGTCTTATGAAATTTTTTTGTCTTATCAAACGATGTTTGAATTTGCATATTTTTGCATATTGTAGGGAAAGTGTAAATTTGAGCGATTTTTCGTATATTTGTGCATATATTGAATTTTTTTAACTTAAATGTAGGTACTTACATACAATTGTCTAGAAAAATCATATTTGGAAAACATTGAAAAATATCTTTAAAAATATTATGTTTGGTTAGGTACAATAGGAGCTAATTTTGAGATTTGGGGAAGCTGAAGCCTAAAATCATACTATTATAAAATTGAATAAGCTTAAAAAATTTTAGTAAATGTTTGGGAGGATATCATGGACCCTATTTTCGCATATGGTACGTAAGATTTTATAAGTCTCTTTGTTGAAAGACTGTGTTAAAACTATAATTGACATCTAGATTCTAGATTGTACGAAGAAATGAAAATCAGTAGATACGTGTTCGTTTATCACGGGGTTCGCATATCACGTTATACGTTATTACTTATTTATTAACCTAGTATTTTATGGCAGTATTTTTAAAAATCAAATTTTATTTTACAATAGTTTAAAAATGTCCAAAACATGCAATAGCTGTGTCCTCCGTCCATCATATTAATCAAAATACAGGTACCTATAGGTACCAACCTATATTAAAATTTGTATACCCGCGATTAAATTATTTTTATCATGTTTATATACCTAATAATTTTTTAGTTTTTTATTACAAAAATTGTATTATGTTTTATGAATTTTTCAAAAATAATATAAAAATGTAGCTGCATATATTTAAGCATATTTCGATAATTTTTGGTGCAACAAGTCAAGTCCCGAACCCTACATTTATTTATATACGAAAACTGTAAAAACTTGGTTTTAATCTATACTCAAACACCCCCCATTTCATAATTCTGGCTACGCCACTGTTCGTATACGCAATGATATTATATCCTTGAATTCAAAATTTAAGACCATCCATTACAGTGAACCACTTGTAAACTAGTGTAAAGCAGAGTGACACCCACTTGCCCACCTTTTTTATACATTACTATCATACAATAATTTAAAAAAAATTAATAAAAATAGATTTTTCATGGCTTTAAATAGCTCAATAGACAATACGAGACAAAATATTTTGCATAATAATATGTTATCATGTATGGAATATGCAAATATAAACATTTGGTGAAAATTTAAGTGTCTTATAAGGTTAGGTATTCATTTTTGAGTAACCGACCTACAACAAAATATTATCATAATTCAATTTATGAGAATTCATTAATTTATGAGTAAATATCCAATTTCGTAAAAATTTTAAATTCGAAAGCTCTTATAAAAATGTAATTTTACTTTCAGGTAATTTTTATTTTGTTAAAGGTATTAAAAGGTATAAGGTTTACATTGTCTGACGAGTTTTTTGGTGGAGCGAAAAATTATTTATCGAAAATCATTGAAAAAAAAAAATCGAATATTTCTCAGAGTTATAAATAGCTCAATAATAGAGTCAAAATATTTTTAACATTTGGTGATAATACCGGTATCTAGTTATAAGTTTTTGAGTTGTTCCAAAAAAATAATAAGTTAAACATTTTGTTTTTCCCGACGCTTTTGAAAATAACTGAGAACCTTATAATATGATCCCTAAAGTACCAATAATGGATTAATTTTCCTAACAAAAAAATGCTGAAGTCAAAAATCTGTGCATTTATAGTTTATACTGTCTCAAAAGTTGATGATAGATAGAAAAATAAAACACACAAGACACATCATTGTAAAAATCATTACGTTCTCTTCACCCCACCCAGCATCTAAAATAAAAGTCTTGTCACAAAAAATTATCTAGATAATTTATCTCAGATAACCATTTTATTTAAATAGATATTAGATAATAGATAGATAAAAATATAGGTACTTGTTGTTCCACGACTATATAGGATTGATATTTCATAAACTGGACACGGCTTGTCGGCTTCATCTTTATTTATTATCCTATAATCGTATTATAATCTTAGATAATAAATTGTTGTTTTCAATAATTAAATTACCTAGTACCTACTATATTTACTTGATGAATTACCAATTGTAAAACTTGTGGAAGGACTGATTTTTGACAATAGTAAGTGGAAAATTAACAATATCCAGTAACCCAGCTCGGTTACTATCATAAGTATTCATAATAACATAATATACCATACCTACCTACCTCATATAATTAAAAATATTGTTCAAATGATTTTTACTGATTACATTGAAGTATGTAACTACTAAATTGGTACCTACACACAACACACTACACAGCCTTGTAGTGCAATTGGGTTTTAGAAAACAATTTATATTTCGTTATATTATGAAATTGTGTCGATTAAATTAAATTATCATACAATCTACACTTACTTTAAATACTACCACCGACGAGTGCCTAGTGCCGAGCGCCGACTGAGGAGTGCGGACTGCCGAATGCCGACAATAGAATTTAAAAAATAGAAATTGCACTCGACAAGACTGATTTCGATTTACTAAAGAAAATCTTTAATCTGTATAGGTAGACGGTAGTACTACAACTGCAATATTGTGATTTGTGGATCATGGTAGGCAACCTAGAACAGTCATGGCGTTAAATTTAAATTATTTTGTATCACACTTTCGAACTTGTTTGATGTTTTATGGATTTTTTTTTTTTACACAACTGTTGAACTGTGCGTCTGTACAGCGTACGCAGCCACACAGGTATGCTATTATGATTTATGAGTATATGACACATAGAGTATAGACATAAGACACAACACTAAACAAATTAAAAACGTTTAAATGAAATCAATTCTCCAGGAATAGACGAATAGTGCTTGTATGTCCATTTCAAATTTTTTCAATGCACTACTGAAACATTTTTGAAAGGACATTGATCAATAAGTAAAATATTAATATTATATTATGATGTCCTTTGGAAAATGAACGAGTTCCTTTTTTAATTCAAAATAAAATAAAAACTCTTATTTTATCATTAATATTTTTCTTTTCATATGCATACTTCTTTAATTTTTAATTTTAATATAGAACTACAAGTAGGTACATATTTTATAATTCTATTTTGAGATTTTCTTCAAAATTATATTGTTGGCCAACGTATGTCGATTGTCTTAACATCAATACTCGATAAGTATCACTAATTAGCAATATACATTATACACATTAAGAAAAATATATCTTTATTTCTGTGTAAATTATTGAAGCTAGAAAGAAACGAACAATTTTGTAATTTTTCATTGAAAAAAAGAACTAGTTCTTAGGGAACACGTTTATTGTGCCGTTCTTTAAAAATGAATTCGTTCCAGGAATCCGTTCCTTCCAAACACTGCTCCATTGTAACAACTAACAAGTGTGTTTTCGCTCTCTGACCCACCCGCAATATAGACAAAATTTCTGTTTAGATAATATTACTGATTGTCTCGAACAGCTGAAAATTAAAATTCTCAAGTGCTTAAATTTTAGGATAAACCCAATTGGTTTTAGAAATAAATTTGTATATTATCTCATCTGTTAAATCAAAATATATGTTGTACACTCCTGCTAATGTCATTGACACTCATTGTCTATAGGAAATTATTATTTAACGTAACATAATTTGATTTGTCAATAGTTTATCTATAGTAACTAGTAAATAAGTTATTAGTTAATATTATTTTTATTTAATACATTAATTTAATAACATAATAAAATAGCATAATAATATATTAATTGTATTTTATATTTTTGAATTTGTTTGTTTAATATTTATCAACTATACATTTTATATTCATATAATCCTTGTATATTTATATATCTGCTGTATACTTACTACATATAGGTACTGTCAATTTATTTCTGTAAGTAAAGATTATTGTTATTTATTATCCAGGAAACATCACAAGGGGACGATTCCCATTATTTTCCAATTTTTTATCATTTAATTAAATAATTTATAGTACAACAATATTAAATATGACAGCCTTTCAGGAGACCAAATATTTAAGAAGAAGGTTGAATAAAACAGTATACAAAAAGGACAACAAATAAATAATATTAGTAGGTACTAGGTACTAGGTACCTACCTATATATTTTTATGATTATTTAAATAACTATTTTGATATTAATAATATTGTGTTATAACTTATAATAAAAACAAGCATGTATTAATCACTCTGAGTTGAACAATTTACATAAATTGACAATAGTTAACAACCATTAAAATTAAACTATAAGTCAAACATATTATTTAAATTATTGTATTAGTATAAAAATAATATATTCAATTTATCACATTCTATCACATATTATGTTTGATGCTTTTAAAAATGTTTTGGTAACAATGTAAATTTAAATATCACGTTTGTGATTTTAATTTTAAATACTTAGAATATTTAAAAACTATGAATAATAAACTATAAAACTATTATTTGAAGTAAGAAAGAATAAGTAACATAGTTTGACAAGACATAAAGTTGGATAGAAAATTATAATAAATATAACAGAATATAGACTGATCAAATATGAATGCAATTTGATAAATTAGATGTGTAGATAAAAATTGTTTGCTTTTAAACAGATTCTTGCAGCATACGGTAGTTATACCCGGATCCTCGTTCTAAAGTTGAGCTACAAATAGGCTTCTTCACAGTTACAGTGTTGTTATCATCAGACGGCAGTCCGTATCCACCACCACCAGGAGTCAATAACAAAAATGTGTCCTGAAATTAATGAACATAAAATAAGAGAATAATATACTGCATAACATACTAAATTTATCATTTGTATGTCATCAAAAATCTTACGCCGGGATTAATGTTGACTGCAGTTTTAGCACCTAGTCTAATTTTTCTGCCATCACATTTTATTAATAGATTTTCACCTTTTTGCCCATTCTCACCTCCTGTAAAAGATTTTAGTTTATTTCAACAAATAATATTTATCTTCTAGAAAAAGAATAATATATTGTTATAATATGAAGCAAAAATATTAATGTGTATATTTATACCTTTGATTCCATTAGGAGCAAAAGATCGCCTTTCAGTCAGTATCGACAAAGTCACTAGAGATCTAAATTGTAATTCTCTCACAACTCCATCGCCACCACAATATTTGCCATTACCCCCAGAGTTTTTACGTAATGTAAATGTAGTTAAAAAAACAGGATAACGTTTTTCTAATATTTCAGGATCTGTTATACGAGTATTTGTCATATGAGTATGAACTCCACTACGGCCATTCCACGTAGGACCCTAATAATTAATATTTAATAACATTTCATTAAGATATGATATTCAGAAAATCACACTTTAGTTTTGTGACTTACAGCTCCTGCACCACCAGCAACAGTTTCATAGTAACCCCAATCATCTTGGCCAAATGTTATGTTGTTCATACAACCTTGACTATCTGCAGCAGCACCAAATGCTTTTAATACAACATCCACAACACGTTGTGAAGTCAATACATTACCACCAACAACAGCAGCATTCTCTGATGGATCAAGTATAGTACCAGAAGGAATAATTACTTTGATCGGTTTTAGGCAACCCTTATAAACAACAGGAAATAAATGTAACTGAGTTCTTTAAACTTAGTAAAATTGAAAATTACTTGGTTTAATGGTATATCATAACCAATCATACTTCTCAAACAATAAATTAATGCTGATAATGTAATAGCTTTTGGAGCATTACAATTGCCCCAAACTTCATAACTAGTTCCACTATAAAAAATAATTAAAATAAAGAATATTGAAGTTAAAGTCAAAAGTAAAACATTAAAATTACCTAAAATCAAATATAGCTTCTCCATTTTGTACATTAATTTGAACCGATAGTTTTATGATGGATCCATCATCCAAATAATCAACAGATTCCAATGTTTTCAACCCATAAGCTAATAAATTAGCATTACCAATGTTTTTCAACATGTCTCGAACTGCAATTTCTGCATTCTTTTGTATATGGTCCATATATGCTTGAACAACATCTAATCCATAAGAATTTATAAGTTCAGTGACCAAATAAATACCCTAAGTAAAAAATACTGTTGTTGATAATACTATTTAATTAAAAAAAATATATAAATATTAAAATACTTTTTGATTTGCTGCAATCTGTGCTTTTAAATCTGATAAATTATCCTTGAGGTTTCTAGTGCCAGAAGATCCAGGCTCCTTAGCAGGAGCCATAAGAGCATTGGTAACTTCTTCCTCACAGAAATGTCCACTACGAACTAAGAAAAAACTTTTAAACTGGGCTCCTTCTTCTGACAATGATTTAGAATGTGGAGGCATTGATCCTGGTGTTATACCCCCAATGTCTGCATGGTGTCCCCGGCTTGCAGCATAAAAGACAGGTTTTAATTGACCACTACAGAATAAAAATAAAAACTGTAAACAACTTAATAAAATACTTAATTCTATGTACACACGGATAAAATACAGGAGTTATCACAGTCAGATCTGGCAAATGAGAACCACCTGCTTTTGGATGATTGCTTAAAATCACATCGCCTTCTTTGATCTCATTACCAACTGATTTAATCTAATAACATTTTAAATTGTATATTATATTACTGTGTTAAATTTAATAGTTAATAAATAAATAAATCAAAAATTACTTGATACTGAACAGCTTCTTGCATGGCACCTAGATGCACAGGGATATGAGGTGCATTCGATACTAATCCACCATCTGGACCAAATAATGCACATGAAAAATCTAAACGCTCTTTGATGTTGGTCGATATTGACGTTCTCTGAAGTATTCTAAAATATTAAAAAAAGTTATGAATTATAAAATGGGTTTATATGTAAATGTATATATATTTTTAGAATAGGCTATTTGAAATCTGATAAGAAATGTCCACGATTTAGATCACTCTTATTGAAATAACATTGTGTTGATATATTTAGCATATTCTAACATTTTTACCTCATTTTGCATATTTTTATATTTTTCTAGTTACATAAATGTGTCAAATTATGTTTTTGAATATGAAGTGTATAATAAAATTAAAATTGGTCATAATCATTCAGAAATAATAATTTGTCAATTTACCCATATGAATGTAATTAAAGTGTTTGACCAAAACTGATCAGTCAGTGTTGTGTGTCCCATATTTTTTCATTTAAAGTGGTGTCAGTTTTTGTATCTAGTGTTTTATGATATAATTTTTATTCATAATTTTAAAATGCCTAAAGTAAAAACACCAATTAGGAACACTAATTAAACACTAATTAGGAGTTGTTTACAGACTTATGTTTTCCAACATAAATATATTTTTAAAGCCAATGGTTCAACTTTGTATTGCAATGTTCGTGAAATCCTAGTTAGCGTCTACAAAGTTTTTGGTAGACCAACATGCATTACGTGATAAACATAAAAACTATTTAAAAAATAAACTGTTTTCTATAATGTATAATATTACTATATATGTATATAAAAATGAATGTATGTCTGTCTGTCCATATTACCATAGCAACCATCTATATATTATTTTGAGATTTCCTGTGTGTGTGTCTCCATATTACCATGGCAACCATTTATATATTATTTTGAGATTTCTGATGGAATGTTTTGTATATAAATGGTTGCCATGGTAATATGTACAACATATCTATATATATAAAACTGAAATCAAGCAAAAGAGGAAATCTTTGTTACGGTTTGGCTTCAAAACTTTTTATCCAATTGTCATGCAGTTTTTTTTAAATGAAAGAGGATATCACGGAGCAGGTTTTAGGCATAAATAAAGTCCGATAATGTTAGTCAATAATTAGTTATCTATACATATAAAATCCAAATACCACTGACTCACTGATCGCTATATCTTAAAAACTACTCAACATACGGACTTGAAATTTGGAATAGAGGTTCTTCTCATATTTTCACCGGGCAATAAGAAAGGATTTTCAAAAATGTTGCGTTTTAGTAGAGTAATTAACGATTATAATTATTCACTGCCAATATGTATTGTGCGGCACGGCGGCCCGCGGGTTTCCAGCTACCTGCAACTTATACTTTTTGTTCGTCGTCGTCGTCGTGTAGATAAGAATAATGATTCCGGGAATAAAATTGTTCCGAGAAGTTTATCGATAAAAATAATCTCATGCATCGCACGACGCACATTATTATAATACAACAGTAGGCGGAATTAAGTAAAAACGACAAACTTGGTATAACTTTGATACTTTAGAGTTAAATCATACACTTCCCTACAAACAGCACGGGGTCCGCGATCTACAGCAGGTAGATTGCCTACCTGATAATGTACTGCTGAGATTCAGAATTTTTATTCCGGGCAACGGAAAAGATAAGATAAATTTTGAACACCAGAATATTGAATAACGAATTGAACAAAGTTTAAGTCATATTGAGTTGATACATTTAACGGGCGACAAAGTGCACGGGATCAGCTAGTTATTTATATAGAGTTGGCATTTTAATGGACAGAAGATATGCTAATTTAAAAAGGGATAGGACCAACTCCGGGAGGTGGTCAAACTGGGATTTTGAGATTTCTGATGGAAATTTTTCTTTATAAATGGTTGCCATGGGTTTGGAAGCTATTATAATATAACAAATAATTGATTGCCGGGCAACTAAGTGCACGGGATCAGCTAGTATATTATAATAAATTCAAATTTAATGATATACAATTTTAAGTGCATATTTTGTAAAATATAGTATTTTTAGAAACATATTTTGAGGATTTTTTTGTGCTTATAAATTTGATCTTTAATTATAACAATAAGGATTACTATTACTAAATAAAAAAAAATGTTTACCTTCCCATTTGTTCAGCAATACTCATGAATCTATGAGAAAAAATACTTAACTGGATTGGTTCAAGTTCAACCCCAATTTTATTAAGCGCATCACAGTTAACTTCAATTTCTAAAAAATTATATCAAAATAATACAAACAAATCAAAACAAGGATGCAATTAAATGTAATACAGTTTAAACTCACCAATATCGCCAGATTTACTTATTATAGCTTTGCACTTAGGCTCCACTAATATTGTACTCAATTTGTCCATTAATACTGCTGGACCATTAATAATATGCCCTCTACGCAACTTGTTAAATAAGTAAATGTTACAATCTATATAACCCAGGTCTTCAAAATATACTTGTTTAACCTAAAATGTAAGATTAATTATAAGAGAATTTAAAATTGTATATTTAACATAATTCAAAAAGGTTAAAAACACTTACTGATTCAATTTGTAGAGGTTCATTAGTTTCGCCTTCTTCATTGTCAATATTTAAGAATGTTTTACCAATACCTCTTACACGTATATCATCAACGTATATTTTACGCCCAGATAAAATGAATCCAAATTCTTTTTGGTATCTATAACATATTTCAAATTTGAATAATTATAATGACAAATTAATTTCCATGTTACAAATTTTACACATCAGAATAAAAACCTAGTAAGAAATCCACTTAAGAAATCTCCATGAATTGTGCTAGAATTCACTGAATTATCATGACTTGCTGAACACATAAGAGCACAATCTGTACCCTCATATCTTAAATGTAGAAATGGCTCAGCGTGAAGTTGATTATCTGAGAATCCTTGTTTTTTAAGTTCATCAATACATTTTGAACTCAATACAGTGATTCGTTCATTTAAATATTCAAAGTTTTCTAATAAAAAAATTATTGTAAAATACATTATCTTAAATAATATGTTCCAATGTAATGATCCTATAGACATGAGCTATACTGATTTTTTACCAATGTCATATGTCAATGCACAAGGCTCTTGAACCTCATGGACAACATCAGCACATGCCATACCATAGGCAGACAGAATGCCAGCATATTTATGAATAACCACACGACCAATTCCTAGGGAACGTGCTATAGCACATGAATGTTGTCCACCAGCTCCTCCAAAACAGGCCAGTGTATGCTGTCTGGTGTCATATCCTCTTGCCTATGAATAAGTATTAAATATAAAATCAATAAATAATAATAGCATTATTAAATTGAAATTCACCTGAGTTAGAGCTCTAATTGGACGACACATTGATTCATTTGCAACTCTTATGAATCCCATTGCAACTTCTTCAAGGGTCATTAGTTTTGAACTTTCAGATTGAACTCTTACAAAGTTGTTAACCTGTATTCAGATATTACACTATATGTATAAATCAAATCACTTTTCCAACTTATTTTAGTTAATAATTTTATATTATACTTCATTAGTAAGGGCTTCAAATTCATGTAAGGATGCTTCTATGTCTAATGGCATGTCTTCAGTTTTGCCAAATATTGATGGAAAATATTCAGGTAACAGTCTACCAAGAACCAGATTAGCATCAGTAACAGTTAATGGACCTCCTTTTCTATAGCATGTTGGTCCCGGATGAGCTCCTGCACTTTCAGGTCCAACAACAAATAATCCTGATCTAAAAAATAATCTGCTACCCCCGCCAGCTGCAACAGTATTTATATCCAACTAAACAAAAAAAAAACCATTCTAAATAAATTGCTTGGATAAAAATTAACTTTGGGTATGGATAATATTTATACTTGAGGGGCTTGAATCGTGACACCTGCAGTTATTGATTCAAAAACATGTTCAAATGCTCCATCATAGCGACTAACGTCAGTCGATGTACCACCCATGTCAAAGCCTATAACAGGCTTATAAGGAGTAGTTGCTGTGTATCCAACCACACCACCCGCTGGACCAGACAAAATAGCTCTTGAACCATTGAAACTAAAAATTTTTTATTTATAATAATATGCAAAATATGATACCTTAAAAATTATATTTTATACCTGTTCATTGGCGTTAGTCCACCATCACTTTGCATAAATAATATATTAATGTCTTTTAAATTATTTTTAAATCCTGAAGCAAATCCCTAAATAGAATGTTATTATGATTGTATTAATTTGTATACATAAAAAATATCAATATAAAAAATTTACTTTAACATATTTTTTTATATGTGGAGTTAAATAAGCATCTGCGCAAGCTGTATACCCTCGTGGTACAATTTTTACCATAGGCATTACTTCATGGGACATAGATACATGTTCAAAGCCAACTTCTTTAGCTATTCTTCCTACAGTACGCTCATGTTCATTATAACTATATATAAATAGAAGAAATAGTTAAAAAAAAAATAATTTTTAAGTATTATAATAGGTAAATGTTAATATTATTATTTTACTTTAAAATAATTTTTTGTTTATATATATATATATATATATATATATATATATAAACTCAAATATACAAGAAATAATGACCTACTATTTGTACTACAGAAACAAAGAATAGGTCAATATTAATTTTATTTACGTGTAAGAATGCATTAGAGCTACAGCAATACTATTAATTCCTTTGGATCTTAATAAAATTAAGTCATTTTTTAGTGCAGTTTCATCAATTTGTTTTAAAATTAGTATATCTTCACCAGTGACACCTTGGACAATTGGCTTATCACTCCAAATTGGAGTTAGCTCATCACATTTTTCACACTTTAAATTAATTACTCTACAATCTATTTCCATAACTTCTTCATAAAGAACATCTGGTGTTACGATTTCCTAAAAAATTAAAAAAACATTGTTTATTTATATTAAAGTACTAGAAATAATAACTCTAATATCCTTACCAAATCAAATATTTTTGGACGAGCTTGATTTCCGATATGAAATAAGTCTTTGAAACCACGAGTAATTAACAGAGCCATACGTTCACCTTTCCGCTCTAGAAGAGCATTTGTTGCAACAGTTGTACCCATTCGAATCCATTCTATATAACTACTATCAATCGGCTCACTTTGTGGCATGCTTTTTCCAGTTTCCTAGAAAATTAAGAACATTTTTTTAAGATACAATTTTTTTTGTGTTATCAAAGATTTTTACTATTTCTAGTATTCTCCTTATGCCCTCACGTGGAGCATCTGAATAATTAGTTGGATCAACCGACAAAAGTTTCATAACATGAACTTTTCCATCAGGACATTTAGCATAGATGTCTGTAAATGTACCACCTCGATCAATTGAAAATTTAAATTTACCTCCCATGATACTTGTATTGTAATTACCTAAAATAAAATTGAAATATATAATAAACTATAATAGGTAAGTATGTCATGAATTGAGCAAAAATCTGATAGCACTTTTTTAATAAATGATTGTGAAAAATAATTAATAACATAAACATTGATAGGTATTCAATATATTGAAACTTTGAAAATAATACTAACTTAAATATTATTAAGATGGAATAGAAGATAGTTTAAAAAAATAGCTGAACAAGTAAAAAGTCATTATATATTATTATTTCAAATGTATCAATAAAAATAGAGCTTAAAATGCTTATATAAAAAATAAATCTGTGCAAATATATCTTTAATATTTAAAAATAGGAATAATAATTACTTATGAGCGAAATTTTTTCATTAAAATTAATGAGAAAAAAAAATTGAACATTTTAACTGTCTATAAATAACTCAAAAATAGTAAAAATATTTTTAAAATTATACTTTTTACATAAAATGCTAGTATAAATATTTGGTAGAAAATTCAAGTATCTACGGTTATTTGTTTTTGTGTTAGGTACAAGGTAAAAACAAAATCTATTTTATCAAATCTGATTGTACATGTTTTCTGAATATTTTAATAATTTGAAAAGTACCTACTGGGAATGTTTTATTTTTTACCCCTACTCCCCCTAAGTTCCAACTAAATTAAATTTTTCAACAAAAACCACCATCAAAGTTGAAAATTAAAGCAAAAGTTTCTCCAAAAGGTGATGACTGATGACAGTCGACAGATAAAAAAACATTTAACGTATATTAATACTAGTGAACATAAGATTAGTAAAAGGGTGTGGCCGAAACTCAGAATAATGTTCAAATTTAATTAATGTTTAATTACTAGATAAAACTTACTGATGGTTGAATGGAAACCAAGAAATAATAACAATTATTGATTGTATTAAATATTAAAAACGTTATGAATTTTAGGAAAATTAATCAAATAGTAATGAACAATTTATTAAGTTAAAATAATAGTGAAATGTTGGAAATACTAGATTATAAGGATAAACGAGGTTGTGTACGTCTATGAAAATAAGTGAATAACTATATGAGTACCTACCTATTATTATAGTAAGTACTTAGTACTTACTAATATCTTGTACTTTCAACTTTGCAGTCTTTAAGTCTTATCTTCGCGGGTCATGAGTGTTTTGATCAGTGTTGTTACGTTTTACAAAATGAATTAATGTACAATAGAAGGTAAAATTATTGTTTATAAATATAATTCATTTTTTAATTTTAGCCATAAAACCATCGTACTTCTGTATTTACTAGCACAGATTTTACTATAATATAAACCACGAACTAGAGTAGTTACTACATGTAGTAGTTCGTGCTATAAAGATTAAAGATTATAGATTATATAATCTGTGATAATATATTCAGATATTATAAACATCACTGATCACTATCGTCTATAATTCAATACGACATATTCAGACATGCTAGTATATAGCATAGAATATTATTGAATAGTGATGTTAAAAAGTAGCAGTCACTGCTACTTTTCACTGTGACTCTTAGATCATATACAATGTTTGTATAAATGTACAATTGTATATGATCTAAGCTGTGACTGAACGAGTAGCAGTAACAGTGCCTGCTACTAATACATAAAATAACAGTGATCACAGATCACATTATCATTACTTGTTATCAGTTATTCAATTATCATCTAGCAAATTCACAGTGTGATAAATATTTTTCACAATTTAAAAACCCTGTAAAGTAAATCACTATTATCACTGTTACAAGACGCCAAGACGGCGACGTACGACGTACCTCTTATAATAATATTAATTAAGGTATACACAATACACGTCATAATACGCAATAAACAACTTGTATAGACCATAGATGAAGCTAAATAGTTATAATATGAATTATAATGTCATGTTTTTATATAAATCTCTAATTCAACTAGTACCAAAAAACAAAGATTTTCATACTATACAGTCAATCTATAATATTTGGGACCTATAATTATTTGCAAAAAATACCTAATAATTATAATATTATTTAAATTTATGCGGGAAATGTTGGTAAATACTAAATTATCATATTATGCATAGATTATAGAACCTTATATCTTAAACCATAATTTTAAAATATAATCAATTGTTCCCCTTGATAATTGATTACCGCTGATAAGACCAGTATGTACTATGTCCTATAAATATCTTTATTATCCATTTATCCATATTATTCAGTGGAGAACATGTAAAATAACATATAAATGATACACAGTGTACCAGTAACATCTTATCACTTTAAATCGCCAATAGATATGTGAAAGCACGGTCTTAGAAGATAAGGTCTGACCACTTCCCCCTGCCAACCATCATGAAATGTTCCGCTTATTTGAGCGAAAACATTTAAAATTTTCACCACAATATTAATGAGCGCTGCTGGTTAGACGTTTTTGAGGTTATGAATTATTGTAGTAAAGGTTTATCAAATTAGTAATTACCGCCATTTAAACATTAATTATTGGGATTTAAATGGGATAATGCATTTGATTATTTGAACAACGTAATATTATTTTTATAACTATTATGCATTAATACACTATTTACTACTATACAAATTTGATAATATAGATGTTAAATATTAATATATTATACATATTAATTAATAATCGTTGTTTTTAAAATAAACTTCATTTGTACAACATAAAGTGCATTTTTATTTTATAATCCTGATTAATCGTCCTATCCTTTTGTTTTTTATGTTATTATATAATAAAAATTATACTAACAATGCCTAATAAAATTTGTTGGTTTGGCTGTAACAAAACTAGAAAACTATCGGTATTTGTAACACCAAAAGATCAAAGTTTAAAGAAAGAATGGTTGAATGCTTTAAATATTGATCACTTGGACACAAATGATGTTATTTGTGAACTACATTTTCCAGTTGATGCCATTAAAAAACAAAATTATATAGTGGATAAAGTAGGAAATATTGTATGCTCGGTAAGTAAAATAACAAAATGTACTAAACAGATTAATTCCACAAGAAAATCAATCAATATTTCTTTTTCACATTATTTAATCTCTTAAATTACCCATCAATTTGCCTTAAAAATGTAAAATACACTGTTTATGTAATTATAACATTACATTAATTAATTAAATATTTAGACTACATTAGTAAGGCCTCGTTTGAAACCAAATGCAGTACCATTTTCAGCTCGCAAACGATTGAAGTTTTCTGAGAATAAGGTAAAATCACAATATAATATAATAGGTATAGTATAAAAGTATTTTTATTCTTTACCAATTTTAATAATAGGTGGAAGATTTAATTCAACCATGCAATGCATTAGACACTAGTAGTTCTACCACTAATAGAACAACTTTTACATGTGGCGGTGATGAAGAAGTACATTTTTATTTTTTAATAATATAATAATTAGTATTAATTTATCAATAAATGAAAATACAAAATAATTATTTTAAAAATTATACTATTTTATTAAATACGAAACATGTGAACATATTTCCATTTGTTCATCAAATAATTTTATAATTTCTACACTATATATTAACTTAATGTAGTCTTAATTTTTTCTAAGTTATTTAGTTATTTAAATTGTACCCAAAATATCTAACACAATTTTTTCAATTAACTTTTAGGAATTAATTTGTAAACCAACAATTAATATTGAACTTCTGCCTAATGATCTTATGTCGAGTTCAAGAGTTATGCTAGAACATAACTATTCTACTAGTTTTGATGACAATACTTCTTTAATGGGCTGCAGCACTTCTGATTTTAACATTCCTGTACATAAAAAAGTAAACAAGAAACTGATGGTTAAAATATTTATAAAGACATACTTAATGTATCATCTTATTTATAGAATAAATTGAATCAAACATCTAAACTACAATTTGATACTGCTAGCATTTTGTTTGACAAACTAAATACATGGGACCTAAACTTGCCATCACATTGGCAAAAGTATTTATCGATAGATAAAAAGTTTTTTGGTGTGTCTGAAATTGTTTTTGCACAAAAACAGAATAATTTAAATTCATTTATGCGAAAAACAATTATTGTTAATCAAAACTTAGAACTCACTTGCAATATTTTGGGCAAAAATATAAGCAGAGATAAGTTTACAAATTCCTTCCATAAACTTGAAAGTCGTCAGCATTTAATAGATTTAATTAATGAAATAGCGACCATGAAAATCTGTAGAGGCGTGGATTTGTTATATGAAAAAAAGTAAAATTTTATTTAAAGGTTTCAATTTATTTTGATTATATAATATATATATATATATATGTTGTAGATATGATTCCATGTTTTCAAGAAATAACAGTTTGACTGTTGATACTATGCTAACAAAACGTCATTTAAACTGTCCTATAACTATTATAAATTCTTACCATTGTTCATTTTGCACAAAAGCAAAAAAATCTATAAACCGACAGAGAGCACAAAGATTTTCAATATCTCATCCAAAACGTATAATAATAAAAACAACCCCAAAAAGCAAAAAAAGTCTTAAAATTTTGCGAAAAAACAACGAACTTCAAAGAAAACAAAAAAATCGTTTTAAAAATAAAATTGACATAATGAGAAAGAATATGGATGAGTTACAGGAAAAATTAAAAAGTACAACTCAATATAGTATTGAGCAAAAAATGAATGATATTAACTGTCCAGAATATCAAAAAACAATTATAAAAGAAATATTTGGAGCAGCAAAGGTAATATATTTAAATTATTATACCAAGTAGATAATAAAATTAATTAAATGCCAATTCAATTTAAATTAGGTTAGTAATTCAAAAGGCAGAAGGTATTCTGATGAATGGATAATGCTGTGCATGTTGTTGCACATAAGATCACCAAGTGGTTATAATTTTTTAAATAAAAATAATATATTGCCATTACCAAGTATTAGCTCTATAAGGCGATATCTAGGATCAATAAATATGACTTGTGGTTTTGATTCAAATTTTTTTGCCT